ATAGCCACACAGCGAGTGTTTTTTTTTTCCTATTGGAATTTTTCTCGTTGTAATTATTATGCAAATAGAAAACAACATAAAATTACATTATGACAACAAAAAAAGAAAACCATTTTACTCTTTTTTTCCTACAAAAAAACAAATTTAAAGCTCACAATGTCTTCGAAAAAAACTTTTTTTTATTTTTATTTTTTATTCGATTATGATGACATTAAGAAATAATAACCAGATGTATAACGATATCTATAAGGTCGCGATAAAACATTTTAATCAAACTGTTAAGAGTTTTTTTTTTTTTAGACCGCCAATAAAATATATTTAGATCGAAAATAATAAAAAGAGAAAATCATAGAATTGTGACGAATGGAAGATTTAACACCCTGACTTATTATATTTTTAACAGAAACTCTGACAAAAAAAAAAAAACATAAATAATTATTTTTAGGGATGACGATAGAAACGTTGTTCATCAACAAGAATCAACAATTTTTATTTATATATATATATTAATGAAAACGAGTGTGATATAAAGATTTTATTTTAATTAAAAAAATTATTATACGTTACCTGTGCTATCGAATAAAATTTCTTCGCATGTTTCATCCCTATCAACTTCACACCTGAACACGGCTCCTCCTTTAGTGACTCCAGGTTGCCTCGTTTGTGCTTCTGGAGCTCCAATTAAAACCCTAAAAAAAAAAAAAAAAAAACAAATGAAAACAAATTATGCCAAAGTAAACCAATACTAAAATACGAGGCTTAAAAAAAAAAAAAACTTTAATTGAATGATTTAAAAGAGAAAAACGACGACGACGACGACGTCGACCTTGTCTTACGAATGAGTAATTTGGCTTATGCATTCTTACATTGGCAAATAAGGAAAACTTTCTGCCTCTACTTTTTTTTTTAGCAGAATCTCACATCCAAATATGTAGGTGGTGGGTATTTCATAAATAAAAAAAAACTGCGAACCACGCAAATTATATACATTCAATACAATCAACTTTTTTCAATCGACTTGTTTTTTCGGTTAAAAACGATTAATTTAATAAAATAATTCGATTGTTTTAAATTTTTTTTTTATTTTTTTCAAGTATAAAACGAGTAAAAAAAAAAAAAAAATGGCGTATAAAAGAGACGATGAAAAAAAAAAAAAAAAATTTGTTGTTATCCCAAAATAAATAAATAATTACTCAATATTTATTTATGTTTTGCTGAATAATCTTTTTTTTTTTTTTTTTTATGTGTGGGTGTAATTCTAATAAAAAATAATTATTTAGGTTAATAGATTCTGTTTGTGTTTTTTTTTTTTTTTTTTTTTTTTTTTACCAAAGAATGAATTTAAAAAAAAAAAAATATTTTTGCTTACCAATTTTTTCCCCTTTCTTTGGGTTCGGCTACCCTGAATCCAAACATGCTTCCGGGGGTTCCCCTGGGTTTTAAAAAATTATGGGTATCTATTTTGAAACCCTCCCTAAAATTCCCTAAACCCAACAAAACTAATAATATCCCTCCACTACCACTACCACCACCACTACTACCCCACTTTAATTTATTTTTATTTATTTCCATTTTGTGTATAAAAAAAATTTTTTTTTTTTTTTTTTAATTGTTAATTTACTAAAACTTAACAATTATTTAAATTGAAAAAAAAAGAAAAAAATGGTGGTTTCGTTAAAAAATATCCAATTACCATTTTAAAGGTTTTTTTTTTTTTTGTTGTTTTGATTTATTTTAAGAAGAACCTGAAAAAAATAAATAAATAATTAATTATTCGATTCACTTTAAAAATGAATAAATTTTTTTTTTGTAATTAAAGTAAGATAGATTTGACATATCATTTTACATTTATTCATAATAATAATAATAATAAAAGTAAGTATTTAAGTGTTTGTTTTACAAGTCAAATGTGAAAGGAAAAATTTTCATTCATTTTAGGATGAGAATTCTCTTTCTCTCTCTCTCTCTCTCTCAAAAAAGGGAAGAAAATAATTTTTTTTTGGGTTGACAAAAATATTATATTTAAAAACAAAACTTCCTTCACATGTTCACCCAATGTTAGTTTTATTTAAAAAAAAAAAAAAAAAAAGTCACCCTAGAATCCAAAACGTTTGTTTCTGAGAAATCTCTCTCTCTCTCTCTCTCAAAAAAAGAAAAAGTTTCGAAATCTACGAGACGACATTATTATATCCCTTCCCCTCCCTCCTCCCCCTCCCCCCCCCGCGGAACACAAAATGTCATTTGCAAGTAAGAAAATGTCTTCCTTCCATTTTTAAAAATTTATTTATTCTCAACATTCATATTGATAGGGATTTATTCGAACGCGTAAATTCCATAAACAATATCCCTTGAATTATTATTATTATTATTAACATCCAACAAATTCATTAATTATTATTATTATTATTAGTATTCTTTTGAGAGAGATTTGAAAACTAAACGGTTTTTTTTTTTTTATTACATGTTAACGAAGATGACGGCATTAATAATAATAATAATAATTTTTTGTTTTTCACAGAAGGTTCACATTACGTAAAAGCCTTGACACAGCCTGAATAATCAGTGAAATTTTTATGCACGTGCGTGTGTATGTGTGTGTGTACGTGCGTGTGTGCGTAAGAGCGCGAGCGCGCGCGCGCGAGATCGCGTCTATTAACTTGTTTTATTATTATTATTATTATTTCACGTAGTATTATCAAATTTTCAATACGAATATTATATATATAAATAAATAATAATAATAATAATAATAATAAAATCAATAAATTAATAACAAAAAAAAAAAAAAGAAAAACGTTCTCGTTATTATTAATAATAATAATAATAATAATTAAAATTTTCTTATTTATTTGAATTCGATGAAAGTCGTTAAAGTTTTCTCTCTCTCTCTCTCTCTCTCTCTCAATCAATTTATAACAACAATGAAATCCAAGAGAAAAAAAAAAAAAAAATTTGACTAAACCGAGAAATTGGCCAACATGGCTAAAATTAGCTCGATCTGACATCACGACTAGATTTTAACGCTACGCGTAACAGAAAAAAAATTAGCACTCAAACCTTGTTTTATTATTATTATTATTCAAGGTTTATAAATGATTTTTTTTTAAATAATATTTTATTTATTTATATTTAATTCTTTAAGGTTTGTTATATTAATAATTAAATTAGGTTAACCACAAAAAGTTTTCTTATTATTATTATTATTATTATTATTATTAATGAAATAATTATTAAACTCGACCGACTACGCTAATCAACATTCATATACAATTTAATATATAATAAAAAGAAAAAAAAATTTACACTAATTAAAAATTAATTTAATTATAAAAATAAAAGAAAGAAAGAAAAAACTTTTTCACACAATTAAAAATCTCACGTAAATTTTTCTTTTTTTTTTTGTTTGACGTAACAATACCGCGACGAAATATTATTATTATTTTTTATAAAAAAGAAAAAAAACTTACTTTAAAATTTATTTTTCGAAGCGCACTAAAAAAAAAAAAAAAAAAAAAAAAAAACGTAATTTGATACTAAAAATAAAACAAAAAAAAACTCAAATAACGAACAAACGACATCGATTCGACCGAGAAACTAAAAGAGCAACTCAGGCCAAAACCTACGCGGAGTTTTTAATTTTCTCTCTCTCTCTCTCTCTCTCTTCTTCCTCCCCACTCCCCTCGCCCCTCCTCCTCCTTCTCTCACTCACTCTATCCTCCTCCATCTTTATTTCTCACTCATTCGCTCATTCTCTGTCTTTCTCGCAGACAACATAATCCAAAGATACGCACACACGCACCCACGCACGGATGGATGGATGGACGGACGGACGGACACGCCCACGCCCCCGCCCCTCTCCCGTTTCTACTCCCGTAAAAAAAAAAAATTAAATTTTTCGTTCACGGATTGTTTGCCGTTTGAATTTTAAAATAAATGTCTAACAAACGCCTTATCAATTGTTGTTGTTGTCGTTGTTGTTCAAAAGTAACAATAAAACAAACACATGTTTTTTTTTTTTTTTTTTTCATTTTATATTAATAATAGGATCGTCGTTAAGAGTTTTTTTATTTTTTAAATTAACTATTCTTTTTATAAATGACACACAAAAAAAAAAAAAAAAATTTTTTTTTCATAGTGAATCTCCATTTTAAAGCGGCAAAATTACTTTATTTGACATTTGATGACGTATGCGGTCACGTGTCTTATAATACCATTAAAATTTTAACCTTTTTTTTTTTTTAAACAAAATATAAAATTTATTATGTGTCTATTGATTGATTAATTAAATATTTAATGATTTATTTTATTTACGTTAATAAAAAAAAAAAACGTTTTCTTCGCGCGTGTGTGTGTGTGTTAATAAATTTAAACAAAAATAAATTTATTTAAAAGTTAAAATAAAAAATAAGAAGAACAATTATTTTTAAAATTATTCCAATCCATTTTTTCACATTCAAAATCATTTAAAAATTTATTTTTCCTATAAAAAAAAAAAAAAAAAATTACGATCTACAAGTAAATAGGAATGAGAAATTTCTAGAAAAGTTTTAATTTTACACTTACCCTCCGAGTAAAAATAATTTAATAAGTGAAATTAAAAAATTTTTTTTATTACGATTTTTCCATTTTTCTTCGCTTGAATTTAACCTACAAAAAAAAAATTATAAATATTAATAATAAAAATTTATGTAATTTTTTTTAAAAATTAAAATAATAATTAATAACAAACTTATTATATATTATATTTGTTGTTGATCTTCGTGTCATTCGAACTTTTTCTGGTAAATTCCATGAAATTTTAAATCCAGTAGCTTGAGCAAAAAAATTTGAATAACTAAATATATGATCTCTAACATCTAAACTCAACTAAAATAATACATTTTTTTTTTTTTTCAAATATATATATATATATTTTTTTTAAAAAAAACCGTTGCGACGAAATAAAACGAATACATATAAATAATTTAAATTCAAATTTTTACTTACAAAAAATCGACTTCCTTCATTAAAAATTAATAAATTTCTTTCCATTTTTTCGCTCGATGAAAAACCTTTTATAATATACGATGCAAATATTAAATACATACAAATTATTTCTTTCATTATTATTATTATTATTATCCTTCATCTCCTTTTTTTTTTATTAAAATTTTTCATTTTGTTTTGACAACTACTTATATACCAAAAAATTGTCAATTTATTGTTAAATCAAATATTTATGGAATTGAAGAGACACGATCGATATATTTGAATAAAAAGTTAATATTTAATGAGGTTAATCGTACATTATTATTATTATTATTATTAAATTTTCCTAATATTTACTGAAATAATTATACATTTTTTTAAAATGAATGCAATCAATCAAAATTTTTATTTCTCAAATATGTCTTGCTTTACTTTTTACAGTTACTATATAAATATTGATATTGCATTTAAATTATTATGACACATTTTTTTTTTTTTATATGAAAAATAAATAAATAGTTATTGTCTGTTGGATGTAATTTAATACTTTTTTTTTTTACAAAGTGTTAAAATTGCAGATGCATGCATTTAAAAAAAAAGTATTACAAACCATAAAAGAAAAACAATTTATTTTATTAAAATGTAACAAAAATCATATTTTCAAGAGGTGTTTTTTTTAAAAATTTATTTTACTAAAACCAATTTTACAATTTCCTTACTGTCTCATTTATTTAAACAATTGACAATTTATGCAAGTCTCAAAAACAAAAACAATAAAAATCAAAAAATACATATGATAATTAGCATATATGAAAATATGAGAGCAAATTTTTTTTCTGACCCAACAATAAATTATGCAAATTATATTAAATTTAATTTACAATTTGAAATCAAGCTTTTTTTTTTTTTTTTTTTTTTACAAATATCATGATGTTCTGGTAACCGTTTTAATTTACCTTTGAAAAACAAACTAAAAGCCTCTTACAAAATCCATACTACTGTACATTCAAAAGTATTATGTCGAAGAATTGTAATTTAAAAGTCTTCATTATAAACTTTACCCAAAATATTACTACATAACTCAATGAATCCTAAATTTTAAATGAAGATGCAAATGGTGTGCTCATAATTTTTTAAATAAAAAAAATTTTAAAGTAGGTATCAAAACTCACATTTAGTAAATTTGAAGTTATTTTAATTAGTTATTAGCACAGGCGTTCTTTAAAAAAATGAAAATTTTTGCCTTCATGTTTTTCTTCAATATTAAGAAATGACATTAAACCATAAAGACTTCATGCTGTTACTACGAATGTAAATTTCAAATTATAATTCACCATTTTTAATTTGCACTAAGAAAGAAAATCAGTCAAAACTTTTTTATTTTTTTAATATTTTTTGATCTTAAAAATTGTCAATTATTTTCACAAGCCTTTTCAACTTGAATTAATAAAAATTATCAATCATACTATTCAATTATCAACTTCTTTAATCATTTCAAGTGAACTATCACTTCCTTGACTCCCTCCATTACTATTTGTATTTACTACAATTTCTGTTTCACTCGATCCACTGTTATGCTCGTTATCTTCATTTTCTAAACCTTCTTTGCTGTGTTTTGTCGATTCTCCTGTTAATTGCCAATTTGGAATTGCTGGACCAGACAGACTTACTGAAGAATATTGATGCCTGAAATGAAAAAATTTTAGTTTTCATTAAAAAAACAATGGAACAAATTCAAATTTAAAATAAATAAAAAGAAAATACTTATAAGATTTTACCTGCTTAATAAAATTCCCTTGACAGTGGTTATGTCTGATTTTAATTCACTCATTAATTTATAATTATTTTGCTCTCTTTGTGATGCAACTATTTGTTCAAGTTCTGCTTGTATCCTCTGAATATCTTCTTTTAATTCAGTGATTGCTTTTTCTAAAGGTTTCTTTGTACTACCATTTCTATCTTGTTTCTTTGAAATATTCCATTCTACAGGAAATACGGGTTTTATAAATTTCTGAAAGTAAATATAAATAATTTTTAACAAGAACAGTTATAATGTAAAAGCTCTGTAAAATTTTGTAATAAATAAAATTATCTATTAACATGTACAACATTTAAGAAGCAAAAAAAAAATGAAAATAACAATTCTTTTTCAATTTTTTCTTTCAAATTAACTTCATATGTTTTAATAATAAATTTAATTGAGGACAAATTTGATAATCGAATTATTGAGGTTTTCAAAAATTTAAAACTTATAATATTACTTGTAAAGAATTAAATTTTTTTAAAAAATGTAACTTACCTTATATAAATAATATAAAGTGTAAGATGCTCCAACCACCAAAGTTGCTGTAGAAATGACATCTTTTATTTTTTGAAACCAAAAGCCTTTTTTAGCAACATTTTGGTCATAATTTACTAATGACAAAGGTACAAGATTTACACTTTTTTCAAATGCTATTTTAATTTCTTCTGTTGTTAATCCTTTTTTCCTTAAAAAGGCTTCTTTTTGAAAAGTTGATGATTTTTGAACATTTGGATTTTGTAAAAAATTAACTGCAGTATCAATCTGAAAATAAGAAAGTATCAATTGAAAAGAATAATATTTTTAGTTTTTTAAAGACTAACAAAAAATTATTGTAGTTATAAATTTATAAAAAAAAGGAGTTTACCAATTCCGTGCGTGGTGTTCCTTGAACTTTAACTTCTATTTTATTCGACATTTTACTATTACTTAAAAAAAAAACTTTTCCAACATACAACGCAAATGTCGGCTAGTAAAAGATTATGTAAAAAAAAACACAGTTCCTGATATATATATATATATATTTAAAATATTATAAATTAAGGAAAATGAATTTATTTTATTCAAAAATATAAAAATAAAAGAGCAAGCCTCTCAAATCAACAATGTAAAATTGTTGTAATTTAAAGTATGGCTTGAAAATTTAAGATAATCTAAGATAAAAATCACAAAGAGTTCAACAAATAATTATGTTAATATTGGATTCATGATTAATTTTTATTAAACTCGGCATAAATGAAATGTAATTACATTCAACACAATAACATTAAAAATTAAACCTTGACTTCCATAGAGTAAGTAAACAAAAAAAAAGCCCGAGGCTGCCATCTATAGCCGATAATGTCTAAATACAAAATGCGGTTAAAATAAATGTTTAGTAAAAACCATGAAAATTTTTTTTAAACAAAACAATTATATTTTTGATTTTTTTCCGAAATTAAAAAAAAAAACGTCAAATGAATAAATTTATTAATTTATAAAGGTAGATAATAAAAAAAATTCAAATTTGAAAATTTCTTTTTTTTGCTTAAAATTTTCGATATAAAACTTATAAAATTTTCTCTTATCAGTAAAAACTAGTTTTTATAGTAAAAAAAAAAACCTAAAAAAATTTTTTTTTTTTTTTAAATTCACACAAGCCATCATTAATTCATAAATATTTTATCGAAAAGACATTAAAATCCAGTTTTTTTTTTTTTTTTAAATAAAAAAAATTAAAAAACGAAAATTAACGAAGGCTGACCACAATTAAATAAATTTACTCTTGAAAAAAAAAAAAAAAATTTTCATGGGCGGCAATAAAAAAGGAATTTTATACGAATAATTTTTAAATTTATTTTGTTATTTTAATATAAAAAATAAAATTATTTGACACCATCTTTTCTAATAAATATATATTTTTTTCTTTAACTTGGGTTGGCCACGAATTAAATTTAAACTTTAATGCAATATAAAGAAATTCTTTTCTTTTCTTTTTTTTTTTAATCGCTTCAAGCCATTATTAAAAATTTGTTCAAAGTTTTTTAAGTATATTAAATAAGAATTAATACGTCCATTAATAATTTTTTTATTGAGTTTCCTTCACTAATAGTTTGAATAATAATTGTTCTACCCTTTCTCATCAATCGTAATTTTATGTTTCACTTGAATGCGTGCCTGATAAATTCTCACTCTTTAAAATTTTTTTTATTTGTTATTTAATGTAATTATATAAATTTACCGACACAAAGTCCCCTCCCCCCCAGAAATCAAATTACATCACTCTCATAATTATATTTAAAAAGATACCGGTAACATAATGTCAAATTTTAAAATCACATCTGAAAGTGAAAAATTTATGTTTCTGAAAAAAAAAAAACAAATTATCTTTATTTAAATAAGTAAAATTAAAAATAAAAATAAATCTATTATCGAAAAATAAAGCGCTATAAAGTTATAAAATAAAGTTACACTTATTAAATAAATAAATAATAATATAAAAAAAATGTACGGATTCATTATTATTGATGTTCCAAACTCAAAAGACTGTGTGCTCTGATCCAGTGAACAAATGGAGCTATTCTTATATGAAAATGATAAGATTCATCATCTGTAACCGTAGTTTTTATAACTACTCCAACTTGAAATAATCTATCTAATTTGTCTTGCATGACCGACGGTGATCCTAAACAACCCCAAGACCAAGACCCGTTGGCAAAAGTGCAAAACATTGTCGAAGAATTAAAATCCTGATCCCTGTATGACGTGAGACATGCATTTATGGTTTCGGGAATCGTTTCGTAGCTCAATGAATATATGCTCCCTCTTAAAACGTATTGTCCCGGTGAATCAATTGCGGTTCTTTGTAATCCAAACACGGCAGCCGTGTTCCCATATTGGGCCCTAAAATCGTGACCGTGATCGTCGTGTGGAAGTTTTATTGGTCTCACGTTATT